TGAAGACAGCTAACCTTGAAAATAGAAGCACTATATATACGATAGCATAGTGTCCTTGGTTTTTTTCTTCTACCCTCTCATTAACGCTGGACTAATGTCAAAGAATGTAGCATTTTTAAATTAAAATTGATACAATTTTTTTTTATGTATAGCTCAAGCGGTCTTTAATAAATAGCAATACAACCGGACTATATGAACAATTTGGCGGTGTGAGTTGAAGAGATAATTTAGTAGTGTAAAAGACTACAATTGATTGTTTCTATTATTTGGTGTACAAGTTTTTACCATTGTTCTCTCCCCTCTTTAGAAAAAACTAATGAGTATGATAATAATTGTCAAATTACACATGATTCATAAATCATAACTGATAATACTTGTAAAAATAAATCAGAGATGCCGGCTACAGTCACTGATTTCTCAACAAAATGAACAAACCCCATCCTTGCTCACCAAATGACCTCTTCACCAACTTGGTTGTCCAACCAACTATCTCCCTATAGATAAAGCTTAATAGATTTAAGCAAATCAACACCCAAAAAAAAAACATCAGTAAACAAACCTAAGAGAAGTTTGCAACGATTATTTTCTTAATACTCCTAATTGTAGTAAAACAAACCTAAGAGAAGTTTGCAACGAATATTTTCTTTTCTTTCTCGACTGCATCTAGTCTCCTCTGTGGAACTTCAAGGACTAAACAAGAAAACACAAAGCCATAAGAAATTAAAAAAATACTAAAGTTTAGTACTTGATATTTGAAGAGAAGTAAAAGGAAAAGGACTGATGAAACCTAAATCCTCATAAATAACCTCATCGAATCCAACATCTCTTAAGTTTTTGGAACGAATGAATACATCATTAGTATATATGCTAATAGTAAGCAATGGAGGGATTATTTTTCATGCATTAAATGTCTGAATTTATTATAATATGATTTATTATTAAATAATTTATTATAATTGTAGTTAAATAAAGATATCTTAATGAATTTTATTTTTTTTATAGTAATAATTTATATCAATGTTATCAAAATCGATATTCCACTTTGAATTGGGAGGGATTTAGATGTGTATGTGTTACTGATGATAGTAGTTGTTTCAGAAGTTTTCCTACAAGTTTTTATTTCTCACATGAGAAGGTATTTTCTTGTTTTAGGCTTAGAATATTTTAATTATGCAATTTTATTTTGACAATAATTATTTTTACGATATAGGAGAATTCGAGTGAGATGATTTTTAGTGGTTGTGACTATTCACCATAATTTAATTTGGTATGTATGCATGTATGATTTTTTTAATATTCGCATAGTATCATATTAGGTATTTAATATACTTTGAAAATTGAAGTGACATCGTTATAAGAAAATTATGATTCTTGGATTGTTTGATAAATTCTATTTAATGACTTATTTACAAGCATGATAAGAAGTGATAATTTAATTATGACATGATACATTTATTAAAAGTGAACTAGCTTTTTTGCGGCACTCAAATTCCATTTTATAAGTAACAAGAAAAAATTAATGTAACCTTAATTCTATTTTATAAGAAAGAGCTACATTTATTATTTATGAAACATGATTATTATTTATCTCACTCATATTTATAGATTGGGACAAGTAAATAAATTTAATACTCTTTCTTAGAATGAGTCGAGTCAAAGAAGGATTCCAATGTAGAAGTGTAATTATGCACATTTTGTGTGTGTCATAACCATGTAATAAATTGATTAATCATGAAATTAAGGGGCGAATGCAATAAATTATTACATATAACTATTTAAAAATAGGAAAAATTCATGGGAATATTCCCACCTTTGGATTATTTTTTAATAATCTGACCTTTACCCCCAATTCTTTTTTAATGGTCCCACCTGACCAGAAACCGGTTAAACCGGTCATATTTTTTTTTTGGGTTTAAAATACACGTGTCACTATACAATTTGTCTAAAATTTTAAATTAAAAAACAAAATTTAAAAAAAAAACAAAAAAAATAGCAACCCAGCCACCTCCTCCACAAGTCCCAGCCACCGCGTTATCGTCGTCCACTGGCCCCAGCTACCTCCTCCACCAGCCCTGACCATCAGATCGAAGTTCACGTACGTCGTCGTCGTCGCTATTGTGGGTGGTCCGGCCGGCCTAAATCGAGGCAGGGGAAAGTGAGGGAGGCTAAAATCATGGCGGGGGAATGTGTGGGTGGCAGAACTCGAGCCGGGGAAAGGGGAGGGAGGCCAGAATAGGGTCGGGGGAAGGGGAGAGTTGCCGGAATCGGAACGGGGGAAAGGGAGGGGGCCGGGATCAGGACGGAGAAGGCGTTTAGGGTTAGGGTTGGGTTTCCAGTCCACCACCTCAGCCACCTTCACCCATACCCCAACCCGAGACCACCTACCAAACAACTATTGCCTTCACCAACTGAACCGAAACCACCACCCATCACCCTACCTGAACCGAAACCACCACCACCTTCACCCATACCCCCACCTTAGTTGAAATCTCCTGTGATCAGGTAGGGGATCGTTGCGCACCGACGCCGGTGCCGGTGATGTGGTTGGGGGCTGGGTGGCCGGATCCGGTGCTGGGTAGAGGGCTAGGTGGCCGGAGCCGCAGGAGAAAGCGGGTTTAGGCAGCTGGCCCCGGTGCTAGGTGGTTTTTTTATTTTTTTTTCTTGTAAAAAAACTAACTTTTTAAAAAAAAAATTATTTTTATTTTTTTGACCAATCACGGGCCGCCACGTGTCATGTAACCTGTTATAACAGGTTACATGACCAGTTGGGGCTATTAAAATAAAATGGGGGGTAAAGGTCGGATTATTAAAAAATAATCCAAAGGGGGGATTATTAAAAACGAATGGCCCAAAGGTGGGATTATTCCCATGAATTTTTCCTTAAAAATATGATATTCTAACGAATAAATCACAAAAAAAATTCAAAAGAGGTGTATGAATAGTGGAAAAGTGGTAAATAATGCAATTAAAATAACGGATAAAGTAATTAACAAATTACATAAAATTATTTATCAATTAACAAATTACATAAATATTTATAATTATAAAAACAAATAATTTATTCAACAAAAGTATTATCATTTTTCCCTGGGCCACCACAATATTAGAAATAGCTATGGTCTTATATATCTCAAAACCAGCAGGATTACAATCAACGAGAGCTAAAACAGGCACTTGTAAGGTTTCCCACACCATTCTAACAAACATCCTGCAATCTAAGCTTGGTTCACCCCCACCGGTTTTGACGACACATGGAAATTGGCGGTGGAACCTTTGTGAGAGTAAATCTTCAAAAACAGTCATCTTTTCTACAATAAGAATAAATTTTGGATGTTCTTTGGGCGATTTTAATAGATTTGATATTGGAGAAATTGATTCTATACGGTTGATTCAATAAACTAGCATCGTTCTCAATGTCTCCATTTGAATCAATATCGCTTCTAATGACAACAATATTTCCAACAGAAATTGAATTTGAGTCTGATGCTTTAACACCTAATGATTGTCAAGTGCAAAGAAAATGGCAACATAAATAATCGATATAAGACGAAACTTTAGCCATGGTTACTTTCCCTTTTTATGGTTGTTTGACAAATTATAATAGAGGAAACGAATGGGGGTTAACGAAGTAAGTTTTCCTTGTACTATTGCTTCAGGTTTCGAAACAAGAAGGCCGGTTAGAATTTTTAAAAAAGTGACACTCAAAGGACGAAGCTTTCTATCCTCTTTGAATTCACAATAAGCATAACACTTATTCACCTTTAGTAGATTCGATCGTATATTTATTATAATTAGTTGATACTATGAAATTTTATACAATGTATCAATTTTTTTGTGCATATTATTTATAGAATTCAAGTCAATCTCCTAAAAAATTATGCCGATTAAAGTGATGCGCACTTTAAAAAATGGAGGGATTATTTTTCTAGCATTAAATGTCTGAATTTATTATAAAATGATTTATTATAAAATGATTTATTATAATTGTAGTTAAATAAAGATATCTTAATGAATGTTATTTTTTTATAATAATAATTTATATCAAAGTCATCGAAATTGAGATTACACTTTGAATTAGAAGGGATTTAGATGTGTATGTGTTACTGATGATAGTACTCGTTTCAGAAGATTTCCTACAAGTTTTTATTTCTCACATGAGAAGGTTTTTTGTTGTTTTAGGCTTAGAATATTTTAATTATGCAATTTTATTTTGACAATAATTATTTTTACGATATAGGAGAATTCGAGTGAGATGATTTTTAGTGGTTGTGACTATTCACCATAATTTAACTTGGTATGTATGCATGTATGAATTTTTTAATATTCGCATAGTATCATATTAGGTATTTAATATACTTTGAAAATTGAAGTGACATCATTATTAGAAAATTATGATTCTTGGATTGTTTGAAAAATTCTATTTAATGACTTGTTTACAAGCATGATAAGAAATGATAATTTAATTATGACATGATACATTTATTAAAAGTGAACTAGCTTTTCTGCGGCACTCAAATTCCATTTTATAAGTAACAAGAAAAAATTAATGTAACCTTAATTCTATTTTATAAGAAAGAGCTACATTTATTATTAATGAAACATGATTATTATTTATTTCTCACTCATATTTATAGATTGGGACAAGTAAGTAAATTTAATACTCTTTCATAGAATGAGTCGAGTCAAAGAAGGATTCCAATGTAGAAGTATAATTATGCACATTTTGTGTGTGTCATAACCATGTAATAAATTGATTAATCACGAAATTAAGGGGCGAATGCAATAAGATATTACATATAACTATTTAAAAATATGATATTCTAACGAATAAATCACAAAAGAAATTCAAAAGAGGTGTGTGAATAGTGGAAAAGTGTAAATAATGCAATTAAAATAACGGATAAAGTAATTAACAAATTACATAAAATTTTTTATCAATTAACAAATTACATAAATATTTATAATTTTAAATACAAATGATTTATTCAACAAAAGTATTATCATTTTGCCCCGGGCCACCACAATATAGAAACGGCTATGGTCTTATAGATCTCAAAACCAGCAGGATTACAATCAACGAGAGCAAAAACAGGCACTTGTAAGGTTTCCCACACCATTCTAACAAACATCCTGCAATCTAAGCTTGGTTCACCCCCACCGGTTTTGACGACACATGGAAACTGGCGGTGGAACCTTTGTGAGAGTAAATCTTCAAAAACAGTCATCTTTTCTACAATAAGAATAAATTTTGGATGTTCGTTGGCGATTTTAATAGATTTGATATTAGAGAAATTGACTCTATACGGTCGATTCAATATACTAGCATCGTCCTCAATATCTCCATTTGAATCAATATCGCTTCTAATGACAACAATATTTCCAACAAAAATTGAATTTGAGTCTGACGCTTTAACACCTAATGATTGTCGGGTGCAAAGAAAATGGCAACATAAATCATCGATATAAGACGAAACTTTAGCCATGGTTACTTCCCCTTTTTTATGGTTGTTTGACAAATTATAATAGAGGGAATGAATGGGGGTTAACGAAGTTTTCCTTGTACTATTGCTTCAAGTTTCGAAACAAGAAGGCCGGTTAGAATTTTAAAAAAAGTGACACTCAAAGGACGAAGCTTTCTATCCTCTTTGAATTCACAATAAGCATAACACTTATTCTCATTAAATTCAAAATTCATTTTGCCTCTATCTAGGAGATGAGCGAACCGATTTTCTTGGATACTTTATAGGAGACCTCGTAACTTTTCTAACATAGCTTTGTGATCAAAGGTTTGCACCTCAACGTAGAATGTAGCTCCCTCGCTCTCCCTCTCCCTCCAACTTAAGATGCTCAAACTTGGCACTGACACCACTAACATCAGCATCACCACCGGTTACTTCTTCCGAGGCCATTTGGATTTAAATTAGTAGAGCCGCACAAGTACATAATAGAGATAAATGATAATCAGAAATATGAGGAACAAAACAATAACAAAAAACAAAACAAGGAAAAATTCAGATAATACGAAATCAAAGATAAAAGAAGAAACGTCGATAAAGATCACCATTAGTTAATATGGTGTTTGGTAAACAGAGTTTTATAACAGAGTTTTGGAGCAAAAACTCTCTTTTTCAAAAAGCTCCTCTACGCAGCGTTTTATACAGAGGATTGGATTACAAGACTTTTATGCCCCTTATCATTGCCTCTTAATTGAATAAAAGAATAAAAAACTTTCACTCTCATTCATACACCAAATCTACAATATGATCAAATGACCCTCTAAAACGTCTTACATGTTCATTTCTGCATAAATGAACTGGAAAACGTAATTGTGTCATCTAGTGCCTCAATGAAACTATCGACATCCTCTCTTGTGTTGTAAAAATATAGGCTAGCACGGGCACTGGCATTAGTCCCTAAATGGAGATGCAAAGGTTGGGCACAATGGTGACCTGCCTGATAGCCACTCCATGCTGAAGAGAAACAAAGGAGAAATAAAAAGAAAAACACTTAAATCTTTGACTTTTTCAGAATGATATATACTTCAAGAAAAAAGAAAGACGCACAGAAAAATTAAACACCAACATTAACCGATATGATCCAATGTAAGGGTTTATTGCGCAAGGCTGTAGGAAGAGAAAAAATGGAAAAGTATAATTGTACCTGTTGATCAAGAAAAGTGGCAATATCAGTTGGATGTAAGAGCAACTCCAATGGCAAGCAAATTGTCAAATTAGCTTGCCATGCCACATAAGCTTTTAAGCTAATTGTCATTTTAGCTCCAATGGCTAGCTAATAGCTTACTATTTAAATGGATCACACCTCCTTAATTTACGTTGATAAATTTCATTTTATTTATTCTAATTTGTTTTATTTTAGCAAGTTTTTTTCCATGCAAATTAGCTTGACAAAACTAATTTGCTTGGCCAAGCTAATTGCATTTTCTAGCTCCAATGGTTAAGCTAGTAGCTAGGGATTATTTAATATTGCAAGCAAGTCCCTACCTACAACCATTGGAGTTGCTCTAAGTTCTCCGCATTAAATGAACAAAGAGCAGCTCGTCGAACTATCTGGGATGGCTTAGGGTCATATATTTGAACTTTAGGTACACAGGCTGGCTTTCCATATAGATAATCAGCCAATTCCACCTGAAGAGGAGCACAAAAGTTAATATAGTACATTGTTACAATACTGTATACAGACTTTCTGAGGAGCCATACAGTCTTAAAGGCTAATCATCAATAGTATCTCTCATTCATTGGCCTCTTTAGTCTTGTCTTTGTTTTCTGAGGTAAGTGGGAGAAAAATATTCTAACAAATACCTGTAAGTTTGGATAACTGCAACTTAGCTCAACTCAACAAGAACAAATTCTGATAGGTTTACACTAATGAATATCATGTAAATACAATGAAGCCAGAAGCTTTGGTTCTGGTAAGGATTTTTATGGATATAGTTTCCATATGAGTAAAAGCATCGACATTAACAAAACAGAACCACTAAATAGATTTTGAGATATACACATTATTAGGGAATGATAGCAATGAGCAAAACATTACTATAATGTGGAATATGCCTATGATATATACTTGGAAAGTTGGAAGTCTATATTGGTGAGATTCCTTTGACAATTATAAATAACTACTATAAGATTGAAAATTGAAATTACAACTTTCAAGTCAATTATAATGTTGGAAAATTCAATCAAATAGTGGATGATTGAAAAATTTACAATGTCCATAGACGTGGAAAAGAGATGTGATTCCAATTGAAACAAGAAATGTGGTTTAAAAAGAAAAGGCCTTTAATTATAATCGGAAATTCTAATTGAAAAGGATCAAGATGTAGTGGCTTGAACCCTATCAACAACAACAACAACAAAAAAAACAAAAAAAAGAAGAAGAAAAAAAAAAGATACAGTGGCTTGAACACTTAAAACATCTGCTTAATAAAATGCGTCCTAACTAACTACTTCCTTCGTAACAAAAAAAACTCAACCAATGAGGGCATTATTTGTGAGGTATAAAATATTCATTCGCTGTATTTTTTTCTGTTAGAGAAAGTACAATAACTATTGAATTTTCTAGATGAGTTGCTAGATCTCCTCAATCATTCTTTTATACTGTCCCTGTCTTCTAATCAGCCTTCTTTATAAGCTCCATCTTACTGGCATTATGGATTTTCCCAACTTCCTAAGGCGCCATGTGTTATCAATTAACACAACTTAAGCATCATTAATGGAAGAATATTAAGGAAGGGGGAGGTCATTGTACTAATAAAATGCAAATTACAGGGATTTGATTGATCTTTCCACTTTCGAGAGGTAAATTCTCACCCCAAGTATGAGCTTTCCATAGGCTCACTCTGTCCCACTAAACAACTGGAACTCTCTTCAACATTCAACATGAGGCTTTTCTTCTACTCTATATATACAAAAACTAACTTGCTTGCTAACTTATTCCTTAAACCACTACTAACCAACATATTATAGCAATCCTAAATTAACCCTTCCTACTTGGCTATTTTATAACAACCTTCCCTATAAGGAAGGTTCATGACATATATTTCTACAAAGTTTTACTCAATTATTAGTAATGATGTCTCAACATTCATAGATGTTCAATTTTTTAAAGTCCATACACAAGAATAAGGGAAATGTTATTTCCAATCGGATGACGACATAATCATTACTTGTTCAACTAACAATGATATTACACTAAATTATTGGAAATTTTGTTGAAAAACGGTAGATGTTTCAAAACTTTAAAGTCCATACGCATGGAAAAGGGAATTGCTATTCCCAATTTAGATCAAGACATAACTTATGTTAGTCCAAATGATAATGAATTTACATAAATCTTTGAAGCAACAATTAAAGCTTTATGACAATTATTCAAGAATTATTCATTGAAATTTGAATAGGGAAATGTACCAACAATGAACACTGGAACAAACCTCATAATCATGTATCTTTTGCATGCCAATTCCTGATAGATAATCTATAGCTTCTCCTAAGCCAATGACTTCTCCAATTGCTGGTGCTCCAGCCTCAAACCTGACTCATACAGAGGGAAACTTTTAAACCAGCACATTAATACATAACCAAGCATCGAGCAAACATACAAGGAAACCTAAGAGGAATATGTCAACAAAGTGCTCAAGCGGTTCAACATGGTTGATGCTAAGCCTCGGCTCTCTCCTCTTTCATCGGATGTCAAATTGACAAAGGAGGAGTTCCCTAAGACAAAGGTAGAAAAGGAAAGAATGGACACCTAAAAATGTCTCCCCTAAACAAAACCCGATGATGAACAACCTTTCACCGCCATTATTGGTCGGGTTGAGTATATAATTTTTGGAGTGCTTAAATCCATATATGTTCAATCCAATACTTTTCATAAACCAACCTAATTATTAGCCAATTTTGCCCAAACCATAACTTATTTTCCACTTTTCGTTTCCACATCACAAAACTGAGCTAAACTGATTGCGTGGCACAATATTATTTGGTTGGACAGGAATTTCAATAAGATTTCCAACGATATATCATAATCCCAATTCCGATTTAAAACAAAGAAAATATAAGTATAACACTAAAACTCGGCCCAAAACCGACACCCTTGCACTAAAATGACAATATCTTAAAATCTAAAAAAGATTTTGACCATATTCTAATTGGGTTGGAAAGTAGACTTGATAAGATTTTCAAGGATATATTATATGCCTTATTACGAGTTACGGATCAAAAGGTATCAAAGTTTTAAAAACGCGTAAAAATTGGAATTTGTTGCGCCACAGCAATTTCTGCCGTGACACGGTATTTTTCTAGGGTTTTTTCCGCGGCACTTTTCACTTCTAGGATTCCGTGCTTCACCCTACTCTTTTTCTCTATAAATAGGAGGCTGATTTCCTCAGTTTTGGGGCACCAACAATCATTCTCTCTTCTCTCTCTTGCTTTAACCTAAACACTAGCCTACCTTATTCTTCCACAATACATCCCTTAAGCACTCCTCGGAGTCCGTACTTTACCCGTAGCTCTACGCTTAAACCAAGGCGTGAAAGGTAGAACTGTTTGAGGGTTTGGCCCCAAATCAACTCTAGTTTAGGTTAATTCAACATTCATTATTGTTTATTAATTTTTCCTTGAAGTTACTAACGTGTTTATTATTTTATATAATTAATATTTTAGAGTAAGCAATCCAATTGCTAATAGCTCCAAGCTACTCTTGGTTCGATAAAACATCGCATCTAATGCTTCCTTGACATTTTATCTCCATTGCCACGACATCTAAGGACTCCTTACTGATATCGTTGAGCTTAACCAAGACGACTTGTATACCTAGTATACCTTACATTCCTAGGGAAGCGGTGATGCCTCGCTTTGGCGTAACCCATCACCACGCGCATTAGTTCGGTAAGTGTCGTTCTTAGATTGGCAAGTTTGGCTCAATATTATAGGGACCTAGGGTTTCTATGTTGGTTGATTTAAGC